GAGTTGCAAAACTATCGATAGTGGCACCATCGATAGTTTTTGATAGTTTAAAAAAACTATTGATAGTCTTCGATAGTCTCCAAAAAAATAAACTATCGATAGTACTATCGTATTTAAATGGTTCCTAGAAAGAATTTTTTAACTGCCAATAAATTCATATTTATTTTTGTACTTATGTATGTATGTACATTCAGAAACACATTCACATGTACACCTATGCCCAAAATATTAGAAACACGAAATTTTGACCAGTTTTTACTATTCTTTTCGTTAAATTTTTTATATACGGTTCATTAATTTTTTATAAATGTATAGCTCGTTATATAACAAAGACCATATAAATCTAAATTTCAAACTATGTACGAAAATTTGAAAAATTCAAGAAAGCATCAAAATTTCAAACTTTTATAACAAAGTGCAAGTTTGAAGTCGCTAAAAAATTGCGTAGATTTTTGATAATTTTTTTCTTTTTGCTGGTGGTGTTGCGCACTTTCTCCCATATAACAGTTTCGAACATACTTTGTATGGAAGGAAATGCGTGACACTGTCAGCAAAAAAAAAAGCCTATATTCAAAGTCATTTTCAGCAGGTTTCAAACTTGCGCTTTATTATACTAATATAATCGACTACCAAAAGTTATTCTTAAAATTCTGATTATAAAAGTTCGAAATTTTGATGCTTTCTTGAATTTTTCAAATTTTCGTACATAGTTTGAAACTTAGATTTATTGGTCTTTGGTATATAACGAGCTATACATTTATAAAAAATTAATGAACCGTATACAAAAAAACTAACGAAAAAAATAGTAAAAACTGGTCAAAATTTCGTGTTTCTAATATTTTGGGCATAGGTGTGTATAAAAACTTAACAGAAAAGTGGAAAACAACGAACTTCTTTAACAATACGTATTCACGAGATCATCCATGAGTTTTTGTTTATAAGAAGGAGCATGTTTACATTTTTTTCTTTAAGTCTAGTACGCCTGTCGGATATTACGGCCCCAGCCTTGCTGAACATTCGTTCCGATTCGCTTGAAGTAGCTGGAATGCAGAGGTACCTGAGTGCTAAAATTTGTAAATGTCGCATATCAGACGTTCTAGTCTGAAATGTAGACATATTGT